ATCAAAACACAGGTACTCTAAACATGTTGCACAAAATTTCCCTCAGGCTATGTTTAAGGTGTCACCTCCTGAGTCGTTAGGATTACTGGGGAGCTCCTGTCTAATCTTGCTCGTCTACCCTGCCCAACCCTTCTTTATTCTGAAACATTCCATATATAGAGATAGGGATTTTAAAATATGGCCGGGTGTCGGTAATCCTAGCTACTCAGGAAGCTGAGATCAGAGGGTTGTGGTTTAAAGCCAGCCCAGGCAGGAAAGTCCAGACTCTTATTTCCAATAAACCACTAGAAAACTGGAAGTGGTACTGTGGCTCAAGTGGTAGAGCTCAAGCCTTGAACTGCAGAGTTGAGGGACAGCGCCCAGGCCCAGAGTTCAAGCCGAACGATCGACAAGAAAAAAAAAAAAAAAAGATATGAAGTATGGCAAACAATGTTCAGGCCAGGGGACAGTGGCTCACATCTGTAATTCTAGCTACTCAGGAAGCTGAGATTTAAGGATCACAATTCAAAGCCAGCCCAGGCAGAAAAGTCCCCCAGAGACTCTTATCTCCAGTTAACCACTGTAGCTGTAGCTCAAAGTGGTAGAGCTAGCTAGCTGGGTGTTGGTGGCTCATACCTGTAATCCTAGCTACTCAGGAGGCTCAGGTCTGAGGATCATGGTTCAAAGCCAGCCCGGGCAGGAAACTCCATGAGACTCTTATCTTCCAATAAACAACTCAGAAAACCAGAAGTGGTGTAGTGGCTCAAGTGGTAGAGTGCTAGCCTTGAGCAGAAGAGCTCAGGGACAGTGCCCAGGCCCAGAGTTCAAGCCCTACAACCAACCAAAAAAAAAAAAAAAAAAAGTTCAAGCTCCATAACTGACCCCCAACCCACTCCGAAAAGACTTGAGAGAAACTTAAGGCAAACCTTCTTCTCATTTTATAGATAAACAATGCAAAAGATGGAAATAGTGACTAATTTTCCCTAAATAAATGTAGAAAAAAAAACAAACCCTTGTAGGCTGTATCACAGGAACCCAGCATGGCCAAGTATTTATCTCCCTGAGATGAAATGAGAAAAATAAAGGTGTTATGCACATTTTTCCACAGTGAAAATTCACTCTAACCATTATTCTCGTGAGCCATTACCAAAGTAGACATTTGTCTTAAGTCTTATTCGTGATTTGGTCCAACGTCACGCACATTATGTAACGTCACGCACACGTGCCGCACATTATGTAACCGCTGGCGCTGCCAACAGAAGGGAAATGTGCTTCCTTATCTCCAGCTGGTTTTCACACTTTAACCTGAAGCCTCGGGTCACTGCAAGCCTGTCTCAGCTGCAACAAAGGAGTCTATCTGTCTGGAGTCGTCTGAGTGGAAGCTGCCAGCAAAGTCACCTTGGATGACTTTCCCCTTCTTGTGGTACACCTCTGATAACAGAACGAACTTTGTGTTGTGATGTGATGTATTTTGTGGTAATGGAATATACAACAGAGTTGTCCACAAATGGAATGTGTTGACATGAGCCCCACAGAAGAGCACTATGTGAGTAATCATATGGAGCCACCAGAAGGAAGTGGTATAGTTTTATCAGAAAACGCAATGGTGGACCCAGCTTAGATTCATTAAAGCAAATTAAATGGACCAATGTGAATCATAAATAGGTGCCAATGTGCAGTGTTTTGTTTTGTTTTGTTTGGTACTGATGTTATAAAATCACAAAAGAAAAACCTTTTAATTGTTGGGAAAAAAAAAACTCTGATGTGACAAATGTGCTTAGTGTTATTAGTAGAATGGTACTAAATGCCATTGGCACAGAATATTCCAGACTCTAAAAGCTACTTGTAATTAAAGCGTTTAATATATGAAAGACATTTGCTTCATTTGACAATAAGGCAGTCTAAAAGTTAATTCAATACAATTAGTGGGGGAGTAAAATGGATGTGAATCTATGTGGTTACTCATTTCAGCTAGTTAAAATTGCACAAACAGGCTGGGAGGAGGCTCAGTGGTAAAGTGCTTGCCTGGCACACATGAAGCCCTGGGTTTGATTCCTCAGCACCACACACACAGAAAAAGCCAGAAGTGGTGCTGTGGCTCAAGTGGTAGAGTGCTAGCCTTGAGCAAAAGAAGCTCAGGGACAGTGCCCAGAGACCCGAGTTCCAGGACTGTAAAAAAAAATTGCACAAATAATCTATCTCAAAACTGTATTTTATTGGTCATGGGGCTTCAACTCAGGGCCTGGGTGCTGTCCCTGAGCTTTTGTGCTTTAGGCTAGCGCTACCTCATTGAGCCACAGTTCAACTTTCAGCTTCTGGTGGTTAATGGAGATAAGAGACTTACAGCCTTTCCTGCCTGGGCTGGCTGTGAACTGTGATCCTCAAATCTCAGCTAGGATTGCAAGCATGAGCCACCAGCACTCAGCTTCAAAAATTTATAATGTAGTACACTGGTGTTCTTTCTCAGGAAGACGTAGCTCCTCTTACTCAGGAGACATGTCCTTAGCTTATATCCTTTCTTTCCTGCAGTGATACTAATTTTTAAAGTAATATTTTAAAATTATTTAAAAATTTTCCCCATCCTGGGCCTTGAAATATGGGCCTGGGTTCCGTCCCTGAGCACCTTTTGTTCGTGGCTAGTGCTCTACCACTTGAGCTACAGTACCACTTCTGGATTTTTCTGTAAGTAATTGGAATTAACAGTCTCATGAACTTTCCAGCCCAGGCTGGCTTCAAATTGGGCTAGCTTTGAACTGTGATCTTCAGATCGGAGCCTCCTGAGTAGCAAAGATTACAGGCATGAGCCACCCGTGTTTGGAAAAGTAACATTTTTAATTAATTAATTAATTATGCTTAACAAATATCAGGTGTTGAACTGAGGGCCTTGTGCTTGTTTGGTTTGCTCATTCAGCTGGTACGCTACTACCAGAGCCATTCCTCTAGTCTGGCTTTTTTGGTTATTTTGGAGATTTTTTTTTTTTTTTTTTTTGCCCAGGCTAGGACACAGACATGAGCCACCAATACCAAGCAAAGAATTAATATCTTAAGCCAGGTGCCAGTGATTCATGCCTCTAATCCTAGCTACTCAGGAGGCTAAGATCTGAGGATCATGGTTTGAAGCCAGCCTGGACAGGAAAATCTGAGACTCTTATCTCCAACTTTGAGCTGTGGCTCAAAGTGGTAGAGCTCTAGCTTTGAGTGAAAAAGCCCAGGGACAGTGCCCCAGGCCCTGAGTTCAAGTTTTACAACTGACCAACAAAAAGAACAACAAACAGAAAGGAGTAGCTTTAATTAGGGAAAAATAACAGTAGTATCACAGTTCTTTTTAAGGTTTAATACCAGATCTATAAAATTTGTAACAGAGCAAAACACCACATCACCGTACGCTGGAGGTCAACAGCTGAAATGTGGAGAAGCGGAAGAAGCAGGAGGAGGCGCTTCAAGACAGCAGGGAGGGAAGTAAGTTGGAGGAAAGCACTCCTGGCAGCCTCCTGCATCTCGCTATCTATCACCACCACCTCATTTACCTGCTGCCCTGGAGAAATGGGAGTTTCCAAAAGGGCGGCCCAACACACCCAGTGCCGTAAGCGTCAAGGTGAGAGCGGCACAATGTCATCGAAAGGTCAGGAACAGAGGCCAAACGGCCAGCTAATGACAATGACCAGTGAGGGCTTGTCTACCCAACAGTCCCTATTTTTGTCTCAATCAAGCCTCCTAAATGCTGGTTCACAGAGTCACCTGATTTTTCTGGGTATCCCACTTGTATTTATCAACAAGTGTGAGTCTAGTGAACCTCTGCCCTCAGAGCCAGGAGCATGGCTGCGTAGCAAGCAGGAAGCACTGAGTTCAAACCCTACCACCACCACCATCACCCCCAGAAAAACAAGCAACTAGTCTCTGCTCAAGTATTATCAACTTCTTTAAGGCACTTGATATGCATGAAGCATCGTGTTAATGTTTTTGACTTTAATCTTCCAATTCATCTTGGCTATAGGACTCTGGGACCTGAATAGTTGCTTATCCTTGACCTTTTGAAATCAAACACACTTGCCACTCAGCAATGAGCAGAGACCCAGAAAAGGTGTGGAGCAGAGTCCAGACAGTACATACACTTGGGGAGCTTCTGCCTTTCTTTGGTCCTTGGATAAAGACAATATGAACCATCTGCCTATGGTTCATCACCCTCAACCTGATCGGATGGGGAAGCATCTAGAAGATGAGGAAAGCACACCTCTGGGGTGTTGGTGAGAACATTTCCAGAAAGCAATAATGAAGTGGAAGACCTGCTCTGAATGTGAGTGGTGTCACCTCCTAGGCTGGGGACCCAGGTGCTATAAAAGCAGCAAAGGAGAGCATCCTCTTTCTGTGCTTTTTGCTGCCGTGCAGTGAGCTGCTCCACCCGCCTCCCCAACGCGACACGATGAATTGAAACCTCTGGAAGTGTGAACTTGTCATCTATGTCACAGAAGAGAAAGCCAACACAATACATATACTAGAGGTCCTGTGAGAGAAGACACTCCCACAACTCTCGAGATGATGCTGGAACTATAAAGCTTGTCTCGGGGTTAGATTCTGTGAAACGTGAACCAACGATTCCAGTTCCCCCAATGAGACCAGTCTGAAAGGGAGGAAAGCATAGAAATATGAAGGCTATTCTTCCTCCCAGTCTTTAAAGCTGTGTTGACTTAGCCAAACAGCATAAACCCAAAAGTGGCACAGAAGAGCAGCGTTAGCGTAGCATTCTGATAAGCCGTTTGTATTAAGTATACACAAAAGTCAGTTAATCAAACTGAAGAATATGAACATTCTGTACTTGTGTTTTAGAGTAGTTCTGACTGATTCGTTTCGGTTATTTGCTTTGGAATAATACTGACTGAGGCGCAATGCGCGTGTCCCGCGCTCACAGCACTGTGGTGATGTGAGTTTGTGAGGGAATGCCCTGCTGTACAAAGCTCTGGGCCTGACAGTGGCTCCGAGGATTACTTATTAAAAACAAAAACAAAACTTGTTCAGAGGAGAAAAAAAAGTATTTTATTTAACAATATAGCTTCTGAATTTGTCTTTGATTTATGAGAAGTAGGAAGAGAAATAAATACCATACCCAATAGGAATCTTAGCAATTTTAAAAACTCCCATCACGAAGAATTATTTGTGTCATGTTAATTCTCATTTCCAGCAGGGAGTAGTAATTCAGGGAAAGCCTGTTGTCCACAGAGAAAACGATGTCTGAGAGCCGCCTAGCACATCACTTTTGAGAACTGCTTTTATCGTGTTTCCTAATTATGTCCATGAGGTTGGCGCCCGTGACCAGATCACTCTGTGCCTGTCTGTCCTTCTGCTGCTCCTTCCTCTTCTGCTCGTGAAGGTAGGGGGAGTTTAGGAGCTGCGGGGGGAGAATGGATCCTGTGGGCTTTACCCTTTTAGCGACATCCCAGAAGAGCCTTTTGGAGTTGTTATTGATGAAAGTGATCGCCGTTCCACTTTGGCCCAGCCGCCCCACTCTGCCCACCTGAAAGGAAACGCAAGGGTGTGTGCAAAAGGCACGGAAACATCTTCCTGGCACCGGAAGGAAAAGGAAGACTAGTATTTAAAGACGTTTTATGCAGATGAATGCTCATTCAGAGAGATTTATTTGTGCTGGGAATCAAACCCAGGATCTTTTTTTAAAACAACTGTATATATATATATATATATATATATATATATTATTGTAAAGATACTGTACAGAGAGGTTACAGTTACATGAGTAAGGTAATGAGTACATTTCCTATAGAGCATTGTTACCCCTCCTTTGTTTTTCCCCTCCCCAGGATCTTTTGCAGGCTAAGCATGAACTCTACAGACCTACACCATCGACAACATCTTTTGAACTATGTACCGAACTATTGAGACGTCAATTTAGTGGACTGACATGAGCATATCTTTTACCAGCATGTGTGGTGTGTGTGAGTGTGTGTGAGTGTGTGTGTGTGTCCATGTATATGCATGAGAAAGGAGGCACAAAGCAGTGTTAGCAGGTGCTCAGGGCAGCATTATCTAATAACAAATAACAGAAACATCAATCAAGTGCTTGTTAAATAAACAATAGTACATTCCTACAACCCATTACCTTGCATTTGTTGAAACAGGACAAGACAAACATTTAGCAAGCCTGGCCGTGGAGTAGGGGACCCACGTGACACACTCACATTTGTCACATGATACCTACTGTTTACTCTGGCCTGGAGAGACATCTAGAGTACATTCAGTATGACAGGCTGAGAATAGCGGTGTGACACGATCCTCTTTCCATGCGTGAGGTTAAGTGTTCCTGTGTGTACCTGCACCTGTGTGCAGTTACTTGTGGGGCATGTATGTTTGGGGTATGTGTATCTATATTGACATTTTCTGCACAGTTACCATGGTAACCACTTCTCTGTAGAAAGGGACAGAAAAAGGTTTTATCTTATTTCCAGCCAGAGTTATTAAACAGTTGACAGAAAACAGACTTCCAATATTTGAGCAAATAACTCTGGGGGTATTTTCTGATGGGCATGTAAATGAGAGAAGAGAAAAAAGAATAAAGAGAGAACTAGAAATTGGGCACCAGTGGTTCATATCTGTAACCTTAGCGACTCAGGAGGCTGAGGACTGTGGTTCAAAGCCAGAGTGGGGAGGAAAATCTGTAAGACTCTTTGTTTTTTGTTTGTTTTTGGGTCTGGTCGTGGGGCCTGAACTCTGGGCCTGGTCGCTGTCCCTCAGCTCTTCAGCTCAAGGTTAGCGCTCTACCACTTGAGCCATAGTGCCACTTCCAGCTTTTTTCTTTTTGCTTATGTGGTGCTGAGGAATCGAACCCAGGGCCTCAGGCATGCAAGGCAAGCACTCTACCACTGAGCCACCTTCCCAGCCCCATCTGTAAGACTCTTATCACCACTAATCAACTACCAAAAAACTGGAAATGGAATTGTGGCTTAAGTGGTAGAACACTAGCTTTGAGCAGAAAAGCATAGGGACAACGTTCAGGCCCTGGGTTGAAAATCCAGTAAGGCACAAGACAAAAAAAGAGAGAGAGAAAGAACTAGCATCCCACTGTAGCATGGAGTCTGAGGAAACACCAGAGCCAGCAGAGCATTCCAGACATCAAGTGTTCTGAGGGAGATTCAAGCAACTGCACCTGGGGGAGTGACTGAGAACCCCAGGGTGAAGCTTTCCTCGCAGGGTTTGGAGAGGACACCGGGAAGGATGCCGAGGGAAGACAGCCACAGCTAGAAAGAGAGAAGCCATTGTTGTCTCTGGCAGCAGAGGAAAGAAAGGACGCTGAAGAGGTGACAGACGAGAACAAACAAGGACATGAGAGGAGATGGAGACAAGATTCCTAAAAAAACAAATACTTAGAAGGATCAACTTGATTTTGGCCAAGTATAGCAACTTAACACAAGCCTTCCAAACAAGGCTTTCTTTGATGACTCATTGGGAAAAAAAAAAAGAAAAAAAAAGAGAAAGGGAAAAAAATAGAGCACCTAGTCTCTAGTCTTTTTACACTATTTTAAGTTACTTACAGTTTTTTGGGTTTTTTTGTTTGTTTTGTTTTTGCTGGTCCTGGGGCTTGAACTCGGGGCCTGGGCTCTGTCCCTGAATCTCTCTGTGCTCAAGGCTAGTGCTCTACTACTTGAGTCAAAGCACCACTTCTGGCCTTTTCTGTGTATAAGGTACTAAGGAATCGAACCCAGGGCTTCATGCATGCTAGGCAGGCACTCTACCACCGAGACACATTCCCAGCCCTCCAGTTTTTTTTTTTTTTTAATGCATTTCAGGCACACACATGTAGCTATTAAAACCAAAACTGCTTGTATAAATATATATTTTAAGAGCAAAAACTATATAAAATTTTTGTACTCTTTTTTTTTTTTTTAGTGGTAGTATACTTGGGCTTGAACTTAAGAGCCTAGAGCTTGCAAGGTGGGTGCTCTGAAGCGCAGCTGCGCCTCCTGGCCTGCTCCGTGTCACTTGCTAGCATGCTGACCGTTCCTTCCCCAACACAAGCCCTGTGGAGCTAGAGGGTGACTCACCTGGTGCACATACTCGTCCATGCTGGGAGGCATGTCAAAATTCACCACCAGCTTCACACTGACCAGGTCAAGGCCTCGTCCCAGAACCCCGGTGCTCACCACCACCTCGTAGTCTCCGTCCAGCAATCCCTTTCCAAAAGAAAGCAACGAGGTACACTAGTATGCACAATTAGTTTATGTGGCTTTCTATAATTCTGATTTCTGCAGAGGTGTAGGTATGCATTCATGCACACATATACATATTTATTTCCAGTTCATTATCTTTGCTGGTATGGGGGCTTAAATCCGGGGTTTAACACTGTTTTTGTGCTCACTGCTGGAGATCTACCACTGGATCCACATCTCCAGCTTCATTTTTTTGCCAGTTAACTGGAGATGAAATCTTGAAGACTTTTCGGCCTAGGCTGGCTTTGAACTTAAGTCCTCTAAATTTCAGTCTCCTAAGTAGATTTCAAGCATAAATCATCAGCCTCTGGCTAGGATTACAACTCAACAGAAAGCAGCTGTGCGTAGTGGTGCTCACCTGTCAGTGTAGATACAATGAGAAGCTTAAAATAAGCAGACTGCAGTCCAGGCATACGCCTGGTAATACCCTATCTCAAAAATAACCAGCACATTCTGGGCATCTACCCAGGACAACATGAGGCAGGATACCGTAAAGACACCTGCACATCCGTGTTCACTGCTGCACTACTCACAATAGCCAACTTATGGAAACAGCTAATATGCCCTACAATAGGTGCGTGGATCAAAAAAAACGTGGTACCTACACACAATGGAATTTTACACTGCCATTAGAAAGAATGTCGTTTGCAGGGAAATGGATGGACCTGGAACAAATCGTGTTAAGCAAAGTAAGCCAAGCTCAGAGAGACCAATGGCACATGTTTTCTGTCATATGCTAGATCTAAAATACACGGGGACATGCTGAATTTTACAGGGCTCTAGGCCTCCACACTGAGACCAAAGGAGGGGGCACTCTTACAGGAAAAGCCCAAAGTGCGATGCCTGTGTGCCTCCGATCGTCTAAAATAATGTTTATCAAAAGGAAACCTAGGAAATGGAAACAAGCTCACTTTTCCTCTGCTGCTGTTTTCGTTTTGTCTTGTTTGTTCATTTATCTGTCTTTGAGGTAAGGGGCACAGAAATGAAGGGAGAAAGGGTGAACACAAATGAAGCAGTGGTACTCAAAAGACATCATGTTGAAATGAGCTACACAACTTGTGGGTGGGAGGGAAGGGGAGGGACATTGTCCAAAAAGAAATATACTCTTGACTTGTGTAACTAACCCTTTTGGTCTATCACCTTTATAATAACAATAAAAATTTTAAAATGTACTCTACCTGACATATATAAACTGTAACTCTTCTGTGCATCATCTTTATAATTATAATAATATTATAAAAATAAGCAGCACAAAAGAGGGGTTTGAATCTTGGCTCAGTAGCAGAGCACTTGCCTAGCAAGCATGAGGCTCTGAGTTCAAACTCCAATCCCTCCAAAAATACCCACCCCACGAACCGAAGCTGATAATATGGCATCTCCTGGAAATGAGTCAGAACAGATTTGTCAGAAAGAGAAGACAGAACGTCAAGTGTCTGACCTGCAGTATGTTTTTTCTCTCCATCTGTGGCTTCTCTGAATGTATAGAAGTGCTTTTTAGTCCTGTGATTTTCTCAACAGCTTCACTTAGCAGATCAGCTCCTAATTTGCAGTCCACAAATACTAACACCGGAGGATGAAAGAGCTTCTTATCCTGAAAAACCAGAAAGGTACTTAAAATTATTAACAACAAGACAGCATTTACAATGGGAAAGTTTTCCTGAAAGCTCGTATGAGCTAGTATTGAAGTTTATAGAATGACGGCAGAGGTGACCGTGATCAAGATGTACTGCACTCACAGATTGAAACCCCTCCATCCAACTACTTTAAAGATAGTAAGTAAATAAAGTTTATAAGCACAGTCTTAGGAAAAAAAACATATGTTGTTAAAATGAATACTTTCTTTGAAACATGTAGAAACAAGCCAGGCTCTGGTGGCTCACACCTGTCATCCTAGCTACTCAAGAGGCTGAGATCTGAGGATCATGGTTCAAAGCCAGCACTGGCAGGAAAGTCCATGAGACTCTTATCTCCAATAATCCACCAGAAAACTGGAAGTGGCGCTGTGGCTCAAGTGATAGAGAGCTAGCCTTGAGCAAAGCCCTAACTCTTAATTTACCCAACATGTTTTCACATGTAAAAATGTATCTGATCTTCACAGAATTTTGACTTGGGTAAAGCAGTTTATTATTTAAACATCTATGCCAAATTCCTCCAAAAGCTGCATCCAAAGAGCGTTCTCTGAGCCCCGTCTGCAAACATGGTGGCCCACTTTGCTTCGTGACTCACATTCAAGATTTCAAACAGTTTTTTCTTTTTGGCGGGGTCTTCCACCCACAGGATGATCTGGCGCACAGTGGGGCAGGGCAGATTCTTCTGGCCCGTGGTAATTCTCACGGGGTTGTGCAGCAGCTGGCCGGCCAGCTGCTCTATACTGGCTGGGATTGTGGCAGAAACCAACATGGTCTGGCAGTCATTAGGGACGTTTTCCAAAATGTCAAGCACTTGCTGCTGGAAGCCCATCTTTAACATGGTATCCGCCTAAGACAAAAGAATTGTAAAGTTAGGCGTGCTTGCCTCGGAAACCTAGAACCAACCAAGACAAGACTGATGTGAGTAATGACATTAAACAATGATAAACTCTTACACAGAAGAAGACCTTATCACAATGTCAAAAGATAAAGGAGGAACTAGTTGTTGTTGTTGTCTAATGCTGTTACTGGAGTCCTCAGGTTCTTGCTTATTAGATTTTTTTGCTCAAAGGCTGGCACTGTACCACTGAGCTACAGCTCCACTTCTGGTTTTTCGCAGTTCATAAGAATCTCACAATTTTTTTTTTTGTTTTGGTCCAGTGTGGGGCCTGAACTCTGGGCCTGGGCACTGTCCCTCAGCTCTTCAGCTCAAGGCTAGCGCTCTACCACTTGAGCCACAGAGCCACTTCTGGCTTTTTTTTCTTTTTGCTTATGTGGTGCTGAGAAATCGAACCCAGGGCCTCAGGCATGCAAGGCAAGCGCTCTACCACTGAGCCACCTTTCCAGCCCTCTCACAAAAAATTCTGCCTGAACTGGCTTCGAACCTTGATCCTCAGACTTTGGCCTCCTGAGTAGCTAGAATGACAGGTGTGAGCCACTGTCTCCCAACCAGGAAACCTTTATATAACTTAATAAACTGAAACCTAAATGCATACAAGGATATGCAAAAGATTGTTACTGTGGCTATGTTGACTGCCAAATACAATCCAGGTTCCTGTAACTTGGAAATAATAGATATTGAGATACTGAGTTATTTAAAAAGTCACTGTGTTATTTCTGAAGTGTCCACAAAGGTGGACACTTTAAATTCTGGAATACTTGTTTCAGTATTACTTAGGCAATGACAGTGTTGTGTCTCACTTCTCTGGGACTTTTAGTCTATGAGATGTTTTTGTCATCTTCCTTCTTTTCCAGCCATGCTCTAGAGGATGAGACACCTCGCCCATCTCATGGATGGTGAAAACAGACACACTTTGGTCTACATTGTCTCTCCATGCCCATTGGCACTGACTGCCACTCAGGGGCCCACAGGGCCACCAGGGCGCTGTCCTCCACCAGCACCCGGCACCATGTCCTTCCAGCACAGCTGGTGGGAGGTGTGGGAAGGTACACACGCTCTGCCTGCAGGAGCGGCCCATGCCAGGAGGGCTGGCACACAGGCGTGCACACTGAGCCTTGTCTGTATGATGGGATATCATCTAGTAAGTATAATCATAGACTATATTGTACACTTAAACTTCATTTTAGTACAAAAGCACCTGCATGGTACATTAACAGAGAAAACCAAGACCATGGATGCCCACGTCCACATAGAGAAAAAACAAGGCCCTCTGATTACGTATTATCAGCTACTTCTGCAATTCTTGTTCCTGATGATTTGATGTGAAGCATCGAATGTTTTGGAAAGCTTACCACTGAGACTATGAAACCTGCAGAATTTGTGCTTTGCACAAATAACGGTTTGCACTGGAAAAGACACTGACTAAATTGCAGTGTACTGCTGGGTACACAGGAAATAATTTTGGAGCCACTTCTGGTTAGAGGTGTGGCTCAAGTGGAAAAGCACTTGCCCAAGAAGTTTGAGGTCTGAGTTCAAACCCCAGTACTGCCCCCGCAAGAGTCACATCTATAACTTTTTAAAAGTCTCTGAATTTGTTTCCTTTTGGGGGATAAAAATGCTCCAAATATATAATAAAAAATTATATGACTAAGCCAGGCGCCGGTGGCTCACACATGTAATCCTAGCTACTCAGGAGGCAGAGATCTGAGGATCGAGGTTCAAAGCCAGCCTGGGAAGGTAAGTCCGTGAGACACTTAGAAAATTGGAAGTGGCACTGTGGCTCAAGCGGTAGAGCACTCACCTTGAGCTGAAGAGCGCAGGGACAGCGCCCAAGCCCAGAGTTCAAGCCCCACAACTGACCAAAAAATAAATGAAAAATAAAGATAAAAATTATATGACTATATTTTTCAAAAATTACATCACTAATGATTTTTGAACACTTACTTCATCAACTATGACCACTTTTATACCCGAGAGGGCTACAGAGCCCTGCTTTATGATATCCAGAAGCCGTCCAGGGGTTGCTATGATAATCTGAAAAAAAAGAATTTAAGAATTAGAAAACATTCCCTCACTCTATTTCTATTGAGTAGCTGTGTGAAATAAGCAGACCTAGTTCCTGCTCTCTGAAAACCTGACAGACTCCAGTCTGACCTAAAGCACAAGCTCATGTGTAAAGGATTAGTGGCAGTGAGCAAGAGTGGTCCAGGCAGAGGGAAAGTGTCAGCCATTGTTGAAACTAGGAGGCTGGGGAGCCTTACAGGTGGAAAGGGAGGAAGGGGTCTTGAGGACTGACAGGAACCAGGAACGTCTCTACAGGCAGTCCAACAACAATGGTATTTGGTTCTCAACAGGCCTAGGCCTAATACATTAAGAGAATGGAGCTGGGCACTGGTGGTTCACACCTGTAATCCTAGCTACTCAGGAGGCTGAGATCTGAAGATCACAATGCAAAGCCAATTCAAAGAGTCTGTGAGCCAGAAGCAGAGGTGTGACTTAAGTGGTAGAGCACTAGCCTAGAGAGAAAAAAACTGAGTAAAAGCTTAAGGTCTTGAGTTCAAGCCCCAGTACTGGCCCAAAACAGATGGGGGTACTAAAGGCTCTCAAAAGTTTTATAATGCACTAAGTGAAGCAGTGGCTTAACGTGGGGGCTCTTTGGTGAAAGGAAGTTCAGGAGCAATCCTGGCTGGAGCGTTTAATAATGGTGTATCTGTGCGCTCATCCATGAAAGGGAAATGACAGTAATTATGGCAGGGTTAAATGAGAGAGTACCTGCTGCAATGTGGCATCACAACCGATCTAGTAAATTCAGTTGTACTCGCACAGACTCTCAGATTCCAGGATCTGAATCCACAGAACTGTGGCACTCATCACAAACACTCCAATCAGTTTAAATCAACTATTCTCAGCTGAGTCTGCTCCTGTTTCTTTCTCTTTGCTCTGCTGGCTTGGAGGTTAAAAGCTTTCTTTTTTTTTTTTAATTAAACAAATTCATTCTTGCCTTACTTTCCCCTGGATTTTTGTTTGTTCTAAAGACAGGGATGTGTTTTGTAACGCAGGTTAGCATGGAACTCTCTATGTCGCTGAGATTGGTCATGAACACTCAATCTTCCTGCCTCTGCCTCCTCCCAAATGCTGCGATTACAAGCCTGTATCACCTTGCCAGGCAATATTCATGTAATTTAATAAAGTATATAATAATTAAAACTCCCCCTCCCTTTTATTTTGTCGGTTGTGGAGCCTGAATTCTGGGCCTGGGTGCTGTCCTTCCGCTCTTCAGCTCAAGGCTAGCACTCTACTACTTGAGCCACAGCGCCACTTTTGGCCTTTTCTATTAATGTGGTGCTGAGGAATTAAACCTAGGGCCTCATGCATGCAAGGCAAGCGCTCTACCACTGAGCCACCTTCCCAGCCCTTTTGCCCCTTTTTATTGAACGATCAAGGACAAATGTTTTAACACCAATCACATCGGCCCTCTACTTTCTTGCTTCTTTTGTTGACCAGGATTTTCCTTTTTTTCCTAACTCACAGATTGTTCATTGTTATTACTGGTTTGTTTGTTTGCTGATAGGATCTGAACTCAGGGCCTCACATTTGCTTGACTTGCTTGCTTGGCTAGCACTCAATTATTTGAGACATGCTTCCAGCCTGGCATTTTGCTAATTAATTAAAGATGGAGTCTCATGGATTTTTCTGCCCAGGTTGGCTTCAAATTGTAATCCTCCAGATCTCAGCCTCCTGAGTAGCGAGGATGATAGGTGTGAGCTACAGATGCCTGGCTGCTATTATTACTATTTTTATCCAATCAACATTTGTTCAGTTTTACCCACCTTTATCTGTTACCATGCCACATGCTCTGGAATCATCTTTTTTCTACAGCAGATCTTTGTTTCAAAGCTTTTTGAGGAAGTTATTGGTAGACAGTTGTGTTTATCTGAAAAGCACTTCATTTTGCCCTAGCTCTTGAATGATGTCTCGGGCGTCTTTTCTCAGAGGGAACAGGACTGGTGTAAGGAGTAGCAGAAGGGGAGGGTGACTTCTGGCGGGGGAGGGGCGTTGGCACAGGGGCTGGGGAAGGAGGGGGGAATGTAATGGGCATCACTGTCTGAATGGGGCAGGGGTGATGCTAGGATCCAGTCACAAACGGGAGGATTAGGCAAACCAATAAATACCTAAAGTGAAGCCAGGTGCCGGTGGCTCACGCCTGTAATCCTAGCTACTCAGGGGACTGAGAAATGAGGATCGAAATTTGAAGCCAGCCCAGGCAAGAAGATCTGTGAGAATCTTATCTCTATTGAACTACCAAAAGCTTGAGCTGTTACTCAGGTGGCAGAACATGGCCTTGAGCCAAAAAAGCTCTGGGATGGCACCCAGGCCCCAAGTTCAACCAAAACCTAAAGTGAAGTAGGTGGCAGGTTTCTTTCTGTCTGTTACAAATATGGAAACACAGAATTTGAAGTAAAATCCTGTTGTATACGATTAGAATTGAATTAGCCCTATGCAGGGAATGGACAGCACAAAAGCAAGGAGCACACGTACAGCCCAGATTCTGGTGTCTAAATACTGCTGTCAACCACAGGAACTAAGGTTCCATGGCGTAAGGCAGGATTCTAGGCCTGGGAAGGACACGGGACAGTACTGGAAGATGACGGGCAGAGGATCAAGAAGCCACCTTGAAGATGCTTCTGCTGATTAAGTCAGGGACCAGTGGGAAATCGTAAGTCCATACTGATGGAAGTAAATCAAAAAACTGTAAGTTCAGTCTCAAAGTACTCCTCTCAAAATATTTACTAACTATAAAGGTATTAACACCACCAGGAAAAGACATATTGCAATTTGCTACCTAACTGAACGCAATGGAAACAATAAAGTATCTCTTCTGTGATACTCTGTCAAAATACACAAGACAGGTGCCAATGGCTCATCCTGTGATCCTGGCTATTGAGGAGGCTGAGACCTGAGGTTCGTGGTTCAAAGCTAGCCAAGGCAGGAAAGTCCATGAGACTCATCTCCAATTAAGCCAGAAAGACAGAAGTGGAGCTGTGGCTCCAGTGGTAGAGTGCTAACCTTAAGGGGGTGGGGGGCGGGGGAAGAAACAAAAAAACAGAGAGACTGAGAGGAACCATTGTAGACTGGAAATAAAAGAGAGACATAGTAACTAAACGAAATATACAATTCTGAATTAGATTCAGGTTTCAAAGAAAAAACCAGGACTGCAGCAGTGTAAAAACCTGAATAGAGTCTGAGGCATGGTTGATATCAGTGTTAATTCCCAATGGATCCCAATGTGGTCATGTTAACCTCCCAAGTCCGTACTTATACTGCAAGTTTGTAGAATAATATCCTTGCAGAAATTACACTATAAAAAAACATATGGATGGGGTTGGGAAGGTGGCTCAGTGGTAGAGCACTTGCCTTGCATGCATGAGGCCCTGGGTTCCATTCCTCAGCACCACATAAGCAGAAAGAAAAGAGAAAGCCAGAAGTGGTGCTGTGGCTCAAGTGGTAGAGCACGAGCCTTGAGCTGAAGAGCTAAGGGACTGTGCCCAGGCTCAGAGTTCAGGCCCACGACCGGACACCCCCCCCAAAAAAAAAACATATGGGGGTCAAAGAGAAAAATGTTCTTTATACTGTACTACTACCTTTAAGTTTTTTTTTAATAAAAATTTGTGAAAACCACTGTACCCAATTGTATCTCATTAAATGTTGTGACCGAGGTACTATCATCAATGCATTAGGACACGGAGACACACACACACACACACACACAATTTTTGTGTGTGTGCCAGGCTTGAGCTTGGGGCCTCATACTCTCACTTGACTTTTTCGCGCAAGGCTAGTGCTCTACCATGCGAGCCACAGCTCTGCTTTTTGGTGTTCACAGACTTTCCTGCCTGGGCTGGCTTTGACCATGATCCTCAGCTCCTAGTTTCTTGAATAGCAAGGATTAAGTGTGAGCTACCACTGCACAGTGTATTAATTTATAAGAATGGCAATACAAGATAAACTACTAGATTTCTAAAACGAACAAAGAAAGCTGTTAGAGTAGCTAAGAGCTCTTGTATTGTGGGCTGGGGTTGACTCTATGGACTCAGGTGGTAGAGTGCTAGCCTGACAAAATATCACCTTTACATGTTTTATATGTTGGAGGTCCACATTAAAAATCACTGATCCAATGTTCCATTATCAACCTGTAATATCCTTTTTTTTTCTTTCTTTTCTTTTTTTTTTGCCTGTCCTGGGGCTTGAACTCGGGGCCTGGGCACTGTCCCTGAGCTTCTTTTGCTGAAGGTTAGCACTCTACCACTTGAGCCACAGTGCCACTTCCGGCTTTTTCTGTTTATGTGGTACTAAGGAACTGAACCCAGGGCTACATGCATGCTAGCAAGCACTCTACTACTAAGCCACATTTCCCAACCTCTCCCCTCTCTTTTGGTAACATATTTTCTCTTTTCTCTAGATCTGGGGACTGAAGCCAGGCGCTCACCCATGTTAGAGAAGCACTCTACCACAGAGCTACATTCCCAGTCTATCATCTTGTAATTTCTTTTTTTCTTTTTTGCCGGTCGTGGGACTTGAACTCTGGGCCTAGGCGCTGTCCCTCAGCTCTTCAGCTCAAGGCGAGCGCTCTACCACTTGAGCCACAGCGCCACTTCCTGCTTTTTCTGCTTATGTGGTGCTGAGGAATCGAACCCAGAGCCTCATGCTTGCAAGGCAAGTGCTCTACCACTGAGCCACCTTCCCGGCCTCATCTTGTAACTTGTTGAAATTATATTGTACATGTCTTAACTCTGCCACATCCATTTCATGTGACCTAGGTAAAAACTGAAAAGCTACCTAAGATCAACATTGTTCTTCAGGAGTGACAGAATCCCATCAGGTGCCTCAATTGCTCTCGAACTTTCAAAGCCCCTCGGTCAAAGGGGTGCTTACCTTCACATGCTGTCGCAAGCGGTGGAGCTGCGGGGGCAGCGGCAAGCCCCCCACGAGGAGCACGGTCTTCATGCGTGGCAGACCCCTCATCAGCTCCTTGGCCTGCCTTTCTATCTGGACGGCCAGCTCTCGTGTTGGCGTAAGGATGAGTGCACACGGAGTTTTGTTCTGTGAAGATGTGAAACGCCAGTCAGAAACACCACCCATTCCCGCTGACATGAACGAAAGCGTCACAGTGACTCCAGGAGCGTTTACCTCTTCAAAGCACTTCATCATTCACAGTCAACAAAATGAAGAACAGTAAGGGGAGGGGAAGGCTTGGGAGGGATGGGGGAGAATGTTGACAGGGGTGCTATCAATCAAGATCCGCTGGATTTATAAACTGCTTTGTTGAATGCCAACCCCTGTGTAAAACTACTGAAAGATAATACAGGTATAATAATCATTTTAAAGTTCCCCCATCAAAGAGGGCAGAGGTGGCTCACACCTATAATCCCAGCTGCCCAGGAGGCTGAGATCTTAGGATCACAGTTTGCAGCCAACTCCAAGCAGGAAAGTCCATAAAACTCTTATCTCCAATTAATCACCAAAAAAGCCAGAAGTAGAACTGTGGCTCAAGCAGTAGAGTGCCAAACTTAAGCAGAAAAACTCAGGACTAGTACTCAGGCCCTGAGTTCAGATCCTAGTGCCAGCACAAACTAACTAAATTAAATGAGACAATTAAATGCCCCCATATAACTAATATAAGCTGATAAAAAAATAGTTCAAAAAATTTCCCCATTAACCCAACTAGTTTGGGGCCTCCCATCTTTTGCTCATCACATGCAGATTTTTCTTCCAAAACCATCATAAATTGTCAAAATTAAAAAGTCATAAAACAGTCTGAGCATGCAGAGAGACAAACAGCACATTTCATATGGAGAAGCTAGATCTAAAATATACCCAGACATGATAAATTATACAGGGCTCTAGGCATTCACACACAGTGACACCAAAGGAATCTTACTCTTAGGGAAGGAACACAAAGGTGTAATGTCTTTGTGCCTCTGATCATATAAAGTAATATCGAAATGAATTCCAGGAAATGGAAACAGGAGTTTTTTTCTTTTTGGCCTTTTTGTTCATTTATCTGTCTTTGGGGCTGGGTGGGGGTGGAAAGGCACAAAAGTGAAGGAACAAAGGGTGGACCAATGCAGCATGGTACTCACTAGACACGGTGGAAAATGAACTGTACAACTTGTGGGTGGGGATGGGAGGGAAAAATTGGGAGAGAGCAAGGGAAGAGGTGACATTGTCCAGAAAGAAATATACTTATTATCTGACTTAGGAAACTGCAACCCCTCTGTACATCACCTTTATAATAACACTTAACCCCCCGCCCCCCCCAAAAAAAACCATTCTGAGCACAAACACATGTTCAGAAGTTACAGATAATGGAAAATTCTCTATTTTTGATTTTTCAGTGAAGGATGTCCAACTGGCAAGGTCTATGCAAATATTCCAAAGTCAGGAAAACTTCAAAATCTGGTTCCAAGCATTTCAGTTAAAGGACATTCAACCTGCTTTTGACAAACAATTTCTCAAAATGTGAAAGTGCTTTATACACTAAAAATTAATACGTCAAATAAAGCCATATTTTAAGATGAACTACGGATTGCATTAAAGGAATATTTTGAAGCCCTAGAGTTACAACTCTGATATAAAACAGCCAATTTCTTCAAAGTACAAAATCTAAGGAGGCCTAATGGACATATAAATCACAGCTGGCAGGGGGAAGATGGGAAGGAGGGAGATGGGAAGGGATGGTAGGGAAAACAGAGGAGGAGACAATACTTGATAAGAAATGCACTCCTTACCTTGCCCATGTAATTGTAACCCCTCTGTATGGTATTTTCACAATAAAAATAAAATAAATCACAGCTCATATTATCAGCAGGATAGCTTACTCTTTTAATAGAAAATATATACTTTTTTTGGGGGGGGGTCCAGTCATGGGGCCTGAACTCTGGGCCTGGGCGCTGTCCCTCAGTAATTCAGCTCAAGGCTAGTGCTCTACCACTTGAGCCACAGCGCCACTCCCGGCTTTTTTTTTGCTTATGTGGTGCTGAGGAATCGAACCCAGGGCCCCAGGCATGCAAGGCAAGCACTCTACCACTGAGCCACCTTCCCAGCCCTTAATAGAAAATATTTTTTAATGAAATGTTTAATAAGGAAAATAATATTTTGGACTTTCAACAGGGAGCTCTTTGGTTCAACCTCATAAAAAGAAAAATTCCATAAAATTATGTTTTGCCTACAAAGTACCAGGGAAAACAAAATCACTAGGAGCCCCAGTAAGCAAAGTGACAAATATTTCTGTTTTGTTCTGCTTAGCTTTGGAGGCACTAGGTTTTAAACTCAGGGCCTCTTGCTTGCTTGACTGCACCTCTTGAACCATGCCTCCAGTTTTGCTTTTTGCTGATGAAGATGGAGTCACCCAGACTTTATTGTCAGAGCTGGTTTTTGATCCTCAATCCTCCAGGTCTCAGTCCCCTGAATGGCTAGGATTACAATTAAGAATCATTGGTTTGGACTTGGCTTGCAAAATTAGCACTGTCAAGGATTAAACCGAGTAAACACTATTTGTGTTTGGGAGAAGACATGTGGACTTCTGAGTTACCTCAAAGACAGCTTGGATGATAACGGGAAGAAGGAAAGCAGCTGTTTTCCCAGAGCCAGTGTCAGCGCTGGCCAGGATGTCTCTGCCCAGAAGTCCCACGGGAATCATCTGCATTTGGACTGGGGTTGGCACCTCATAGCCCGATTGCTTCAAGTTGTGATTTAAGACCTCAGGGAACCCGCAGTGTTCGAAGTCAATAATAGGCCTAGCGACCCCTTCCCCTTGAACTGAAATCCCTAGCTGCTGCTTGAGATTTTCCACCTGGTCCTCCCGAAGGCTCGCAATAAAGGGGTGCTCTTTGTACTCATAGAAGGCAGCAAGAAGAGACTCGGGCTCTGAAGCCGTTTTCTGTGGACTGCTGAGGTTGAATTTCTCTTCCTGTCCTTGGACTTGCACAAGATGTTTGGCTTTGCACTCCAAACTGCACACATCTTCATCCGTCCTATCACAAATATATTCCCCATAACGACCACACACCACACACACCGGCTCCCCGGGTTCTGGCCAGCGCTGGGTTTTAGAAAATGACTTCACAGGCTCTTCAGAAGGCTGGCTGTCCACATCCTGCTCACAAACCTTGGCCAATTGGCCAGCGGGGCCTGATGGACCACTGGGCTTGTCTGCTGCTCTGGCTCCTTTTGTAACTGCAGGATCCACTGCAACATCTCCATCCTTGTCCAACCAAGGGTGCTTCTCTTCTGCCTTAATTTTCTTGGCTACACTACTTTGGACATCATCATTGGAATTCCTCTTGATTTTTAGAGATCTTGGTACAAACATCCTCCAACAGCCTGTTGAGTGAATTACATAATGAGCTTTGTTTTCCCCTCCATTAAGCTCGCATTAATGAGGTACCACGTGATTCTGTACCCCAGGGAGTTACCTCAAAGAAATAAGAGGAGACACGGCCTTATTTATACCAGGCTTTTCAAGAAGACACACACACACACACAGAAGCAGACACACTAACCCAACACAGACCTGTCATTTACTGACTACTTGGACTGTTAAAGTATCAGATATTATATAAGAAATCCTTGTATTACAGCTCACAAAAGAAAACTGGAGGGATACTTCACAATCAGACTCTTTTAACTCAAAACCACAAAGCAGAGGGACTGAGTGCTTTTCATGCCAAGCAGTGTATTTCTTCACCTACTCTTACAAAACCCATATAAAGTGGTTAGAAATATATGTGTGTGTGTGTGTGTGTGTGTGCTATATCACACGTCACAGAGCATGTTCTAGCATGATATTATATACGTACACGTGATACAGGGCACCTGCCTGGGGTCTCCCCACCCCACTATGCATATTTACATATAAAACTCATTCTATACGTGATCTCCATGTTCGAGGCTCTAGAGCAGGAAGTCAGTGCCCGGGAAAGAACACTTTTAGTCTAGTTTCTAGGACCATCCATATCCTAATACTTTCCTTAAAAACAAACACTTAAAATAGAGTTCCGGGGTTCCATTTCCCGCAAGCGTTGCACCGGAGCTGGCGGGAGGGCCGGGTTAGCTGGGCGGGGCCTGCGCTGGAGCCGGGAGCCGGGGACAGAGCCCCAGGGCCGGGCCTCCCCCGGGCCACCGCACAGGCCCGGGCCGGGCGCGCGCCCCCGACCCCGCGCGCGACCCCGCGCGCGCGACCCCACACCCTCCCCAGGCCCCGCACCCCCGGCGCGTGCGCGTCACGGCGCTGCTAGGAGACGGACCGGGGAGGGCGGGGCCTCGGGGTCGGTCGGAGTTGCGGCCCCTGCGTAGACGGCCAACGTGACCTATCCGAGCCGCCCGGGCTGGCGCACGCTCACCCGCCTAGGCCTGAGGCCGCTCCCGCTCTCGCTCCGGGTCGCTGTCCCCGGCGAGCCCCGGTCCCGACTTCCTGCCGACGAGCCCGGACACCGCGCGCACGATCCGCTTCTCCGGGTTTTGCGAGTCTCCGGCGCGTTCGCGCGGCGTGAGCGCGGAGCGGCGCCTGACGGGCGGGGCCCCAGCTCCGCGCTCGCCCCGCCCCTTCCCGGCCCGGGCTGGCGCAAAGCGCGGAAACCGGATGTTCCGGACCGGCTCGGCGCGTCGGCTCCGGAGCGGAGAGCGCACGTCACGGAGCCGCCGGAAAGACGCAACGGGGAGGCGCGCGGGCCGGGCGCGCTGGAGAGCGGGAGCGTGCGGGGAAGGCGGGGCGCCTGGGACCCCCCGGGTGACCCCACGCCCGCGCCCGGCGCCTGGGTCCTGTTCTTCCTCATTACAGCCTTTCCAACAACAACAACAACAATAATAATACCACTCACCTTAAGATTAGTTTACATGACGATTTAAATGCACCTAGTGAGGCCGAAGGAGGATATTCCTGGGAGACTAACCCGAGCGAGGCGCCCTGCCCAGGTGCACCTGATCTTGTAAAATCGTCGTAATGGACCCGAACTCCAGGAAGTGGAAACGAGGCTTTTCTCTCTTCTTTTCCCTTTGTCTTGTTCATTTTTCTGTCTTTGGAAGGGTAAAGAGGAAGCACAGAGACGAAGGGACAAAGGTGGACACATTAGCACTGGCACTCCCTGGACACTTAGGTTGAAAATGAACTACACAAGGTGTGGGTGGGGATGGGAGGGGAAGCCTGGGGAGAGGGGAGGGGTGGCGATGTTTAAAAAGTATTTGCGCATGGATCTAAGATGTATGTCTGTAAAGGTATAAAAAAAAAACTGATTTCCCCTGTTAAGCAAGTAACTGTTTTCATCTTGTCTTTGGGGATCTCAGATTTCCTTATGCATTTTGGAACATGCATTGTGAAAGATCTTAAAGGACTTTTGCAACTTTTTTTTTTTTTAATTTCTGGGTTTTGGTTTTGGTTCTCTGGTAGCAGAGGTTGAACCCAAGGTCTCCCACTAGGCTCATTAGGAACTCTACTACTTGAGACGTGTTCCCAGCCCATGTAAAAGTTTATGTTTTTCAATACATAAAAATGCAAACATTGTACTCACTATCTTGCCCATGTAATTGTAACCCCTCTGTACAGTATTTTCACAATAAAAAAAGAAAAAAATGCAAACATTGTGTGTGTATGCATGCATATGGTAAAACATGTTTTCAATTTTTTTGCAATACTGGTGTTATGTCTGTTAAGTAAATTAAATCAGTAGGTTTAGTTACATAGATGATAAAAAGAACACCACCAAGGGAAGTTTATTGTATTACCGAACTGCTGCTCCCCCGTGCCAGGTGGATGAGCACCTGGTGGAATCACTGGAGGGCTGTTTTGCTGGGCCCTAACCAGGGAAGGGACGGGGGAGAAGGTGTGGCCAGGTAAGGGAAGGTGTGAATCACCTGATGCTGAGACCCTCCCACACTCAGGCTATGACCTCGGAGGAGGAGGAGGGGTGACCGCCCCCAGGTGTACCAGTAACCTGGTACAGGTAACTGTGACACAGGTACTGGGCAGAGAGGAGGGAGGGGTACTCCCCACCTTACATTATCTTCTATTTTTTGGGGGGGGGTCAGGTCATGGGGCTTGGACTCTGGGCCTGGGCGCTGTCCCTCAGCATTTCAGCTCGAGGCTGGCGCTCTACCACGTGAGCCACAGTGCCACTTCCGGATTTTTTCTTTTTGTTTATGTGGTGCTGAGGAATCGAACCCAGGGCCTCATGCATGCAAGGCAAGCGCTCTACCACTGAGCCCCCTTCCCATCCCCAGATTATCTTCAATTTTTTAAAAAAGTTTTAACTTTGAAGAAAACTTACAAAGAAAGTTGCAATTCTGCAGCAAAGCCTATCTATCATCTATGCCTTTCACGTAGATTCTGTTTTCTGTATTTGTGTGTAAGAAGGATTCGTTGAACAGTTTGTATCTATGAAGATGAAGATACTGTCTCCATGTGTCCAGAGAGCAATCTTCAAATATAATACTGATAGTTGTTATACGGTCTATTTGTGTGTGTGTGTGTGTGTGTGTGTGTGTGTGTGTGTGTGTGTGTGTGTGTACGCTGCTGGGCCTCCTGCTCCTGCTTAGCTTTTTTTTTTTTTTTTTAACCAGTCCTTGGGTTTGAACTCAGGGCCTGAGCACTGTCCCTGAGTTTCTTTTGCTCAAGGCTAGTGCTCTACTACTTGAGCCACAACACCACTTCTGGCTTTTTCTGTGTATGTGGTACTGAGGAATTGAACCTGGGGCTTCATGCATGCGAGGCAAGCACTCTACCACTAAGCCACCTTCCCAGCCTGATTAGCATTTTTTCTAAAGTGGCTTTCTATGCCATAATTTATCAAGATTCTACAGCAAACGAGTCTGTTTCAGAACTCTGTTTTCTTCCAAGTTGCCTATCTCTGTACCAATCCATCCTGTCTTTGTGTGTGTGTGTGTGTGTGTGTGTGTGTGTGTGTGCTTGCGCACGCTGTTCCTGGGGCTTCAATTCAGGGCCTATGCACTACTCCTAAACTCCTTTATGCTCAAGGTTAGTACTCTAACACTATAGCCACAGGGCCACTTCCAGCTTTTTCTGAGTAATTTATTGAGATAAGAGTCTCACGGACTTTCCTGCCTGGGCTTTGAATTGTGATTCTCAGATGTCAGCTTCCTGAGTAGCTAGAATGTCAGGCGTGAGCCACCAGCACCCAGCTCATCCTGTCCTAATTACTGCTTCATTGCAGGTTTTGCTATCTGGTTGAGCAAGTTCCCTCACGTTCGCTTTCTGAAAGAGTGTCTTGCCCCACCAGGCAGCATCCATCTGTACTCTAAGGACTTAAGAGGCTGGGGCTAAAGGATCATGAGTTGGAGATGAGCCTGGACTACATACACACAGTGACCCTGTCTTATAATCAAGAAATGTGTCTTGGCTCTTCTTGGGCTTTACTCTTCTGTATACCTTTTAAAATTAATTGTTAACATTAAAGTCATGATGTGGTAACATTTGGAAATGCATTATTATTATTTTGGGGGGGGGTCCGGTCATGGGGCCTGAATTCTGGGCCTGGGCGCTGTCCCTCAGCTCTTCAGCTCAAGGCTAGCACTCTACCACTTGAGCCACAGCGCCACTTCCATGTTTTTTCTTTTTGCTTATGTGGTGCTGAGGAATCGAACCCAGGGCCTCAGGCATGCAAGGCAAGCGCTCTACCACTGAGCCGCCTTCCCAGCCCCTGGAAATGCATTATTTCTATGGAATGAAGAAGATAGAAGAATGTTAGCCTGGTATGGTAGTATGTGCCTATAATTGGGGCTGAGGCACAACTGCAAGTTCTAGGCCAGCCTGTCTACATAGGAAGACCCTGTTTCAAAGAAAGATAATAAGAAAGAGAAAAGGAAGAAGAGGAAGGAGGAGAAGAAAGAAAAGTTCTGCTCATCAATAGATGGATGCGTCGATGTGTATCAGATAAATTAAGATAGGTTGTTCAGGGTTTTTTTCCCCTCCATCTTTACTAATGTTCAGATTTTCCACTCACCCATTAATAAAGTAATTAGTTACTTTCCCATTAACATTGTAGATCTGTCCGTTTTTCCCCAGTGGTACTATTTAGTTTTCTGTATTCAAAGACTACTTTTTTTAAATGTTTTGTGCTGGGGCTTGAACTCAGGGCCTTTTGTCCTCCCTTGGCTTTTTTCACACAAGGCTAGAGCTCCACCACTTGAGCCACTGCTCCATTTCCACCTTGTGGGTGGTTAGTTGCAGGTAAGAGTCTCACAGACTTTCTTCCCTAGACTGACTTTGAATTTCGGTCCTCAGATCTCAGCCTCCTGAGTAGCCAGGATTACAGGCTTGAGCCACCAGCACCTGGCATGAAGGTCGTATTATTTTAGATCAATGTGTGAAGCACGTTAAACTTTCATGTATTTTAGTGTTAGATGTGAATGTGCTCACCCCCGCTCTTATGCCTGCGGGTGGAACGCTCTTACACCTCCCTCCTCCATAGCCAGCTGATTTGGGGATGCTTTTAGAGGTAGGCGCTTACCTGACAGGGCAGTCCAGTTCTTCATTGGAGATCTCTGTCTGGCTAGGCATTGTGCAAAGCACTGTACCAATGGCATGTTTACCTAGCAGTTGAATCACACAAGGTAGGTATTTTATTCCTAATGTGCTATGAAGAAACAGGGTCATTAATCAATTTGCCTGGTTAGAGGCAGTGGAGGAATTTAATTCCAGGCATTTCGTCCTAACTCACTAGATCACACTGCCCCAAGGTCTGCTTTCTGTCAGACCTAAAACTATGTCTCTCTCATTTTCAATCAAAGGATGTGGTAACTACCATTTTTACCTTTCCCCATACTTCCCAGCTCTTTGAAAACTGGGGAAAGCACTCCAGTTAAAACATGTTCCCCAGGAAGACCAGCTTCCCTTGATATCAAGCAGATTTCAATGTTTCCCTCTGATTCATATTTACGTTACCTTGGGGAAAATTGTCTGTCTTGATGGATGGAGTGATTTAATATGTGTGTGTGTGTGTGTGTGTGTGTGTGTGTATGTATGTGTGATTTATTCTTAGTGCAGTCTAATAAACTCATTTATGCATGTGAATCATTGAGGATTAGGCTGGGTGAAGCCAAAAGGTTAATATCAAATCCTTCACTTTTCAGGGCTAACAATCAAATCTCAGTACCAATCAGGTCTCAGTGTGGCTTGTGTGGCTTGTGTTGCTCTACTCCCCATGATATTCTGTCTACTGCAAAGCCCAGATTCAGATTTCCCAAAGGTCTCATCCAAGAAAGCTCTAATGAAATTTCTGTTTTTGTTTTCTTCACAAAAAGGTCTTCTCTGAAATAGTTTCATGGTGGTCTTTTCATTGTAGACCTGCAGGAAAATTACTTGCAGCCGTAATACCACAAGGTAGGTCACATGGAAATCTCAGATGACATTTCTGATACTTTCTTATTAAACTCTATGGCAAGAAGAGACAGAAAAATACAGAGGAGTGACTCAACTAGACGAGGGTTGTGGAATGCACACATGCTCTGTATCCAGCCTGAGAATTTCCCTAAGCTGCGGCTTAGAACAGGAAATGCTGCAATAA